TTATCACAACAGAAATTAACACACACTCCCGCGGCAAATGTCCAAGAAAGACTGATCATTCATTCTGATTGGTCCTGTCCGGTCGTAGCTCACGTCGTATTGTCGGTAAGCAAAATCCCTGTCCAAAAATTTTGACGATCAGCGCCATCATCCGTCATAATTGGGAAACTTTTGCTGGAACCATTTTTAATATTTCACTTACATGGCCCTGGGCTATCTTATCTTGAAAAAATATCTGAAAGCGCTGTTACAGCGTTTTCAGATAGAGCGAAGCGTCTGCGCGTACCGTCCGCGAGTTCCATTACAGGGCTTTAAGATGGAGCGGAGCGTCCGCGCGGACCATCCACCAGTTCCATGAATTTAAATGAACATAATTTCACATGGATCGCATATGTTACGTCCGGATGAGCTATCTTGAAAAAACATACGCGCGGACGGTCCGCCGAATTCGTTGTAAGCCGAACGTCAATATCTAAGTGTTATATTTCCGTGTTTGCTATATTATTTTTGCAACAAGAATTTTATTTTTTTTTACTAACTACATATGGAAAATTACTTTGTTTATTCTATTTTAATAAAGCTCTTTCCTCATTTTCTTTTTGATATATTATGTAGCTGCATTTTTTTATTAAATATTTCTTTAGATTAAATTTCTCATTCTGATCCCCTGATTCCAAGATTATAGGTTCCTATTCCGGGATTTTAAATAATTGGAAACCCTACTTACACACTGAGTGAAAGTTTTTTTATATCGTTAGTTGTATTGGCTAAATATTTGTGAACAATGGGTTAGAAATACCGTTTGATCGAAAGAAACGGCGTCATAGACGCCTGGGGAATGATAATAGTTGCTAGTTTCGGCGAGGTCAATCTCTAGACGCCAGTTTCTAAAAATTGACATAAAACTTATCAAAAATTAATACTAATTTTCTAACATCTAAAAAATGATTGAATGTTTCCAGACTCACAAATCTACTTCCAAAAAAGTATTTTTTTTCTCGAATTTTAAATTACATTATTAAAAAATAATTTTTACTAATATAAAAATAAATTACAACGTTCTTAAAGTCAATTGGCAGTAAGCGCCATGAAAAAATAGAGAATAGTACGGGCCAAGTAAATGGAGATCTAGGGCTTGACCTCGCTCATAATAATAATTATTGATTGTCATTCCCCAGCCGTCTTTGACACCGTTTTTCTTTTCGATCGTATGGTACGTTACGATTTTTTTTCGGTAAATATGTGATAATATAATATAGCTGCTTGAACGGAAATATTGATTCCAAATAGCAATATGTAGCATCCACAAACACTAATTCTGAATCAGCGTAGCTACACGGAAATTACTAAAAATTTTATATTAAAAGGTTAACTGATAATTACTCACATTCGACAATAGTTGTGGAGTCCTTTTCACAGGAAGTTGAAATTTGTATATTTGTGGTATCTATATTACACACTTTTATGGTGCAAGGTATTTGTGGTAGCACAAATACACATTCTAAAATTATAATATTTGTGGAACAGGTTTCCACAATTAATAAATGCCAATAACTTTCTTACGGTGGAGTGTATAGACATATAAATTATATTTTTAGGTCGTGGACAGCGAGTTCGTATCATTTCGTACAAAAATAGAGATGCTACCACAAATGTCTTTACTGCACGGTTGTCACAAATATGGTCATACGTGTATAGGTGTGTGTGTGTGTGTCAAAAATGGCTGGTCTATTTTATATATTTATTTTACATAAAAACTTCGTTATTTCAAATGCAACACTATGTATTTTTTAAATAAGTCGTAGCAGATTTAAATGCTCATGCAAACTATATTAGGGTTTCCTATACTTATCTGGCTCAGATTTTGATTAAAAAGCAATTTTTCAACAAAATTGTAATCAAGATGGCTGCTGTCGCCATGGCAATTTACTAGTGACAATTATTTTCAAAATCGACATTAGTTTATGGACTTTTTATAACAGGTTATTTTTATTTAATTTACCTACAATAAGGGTAATAAGTAAGTATTTATTATATTATCAAGAAAAATAAAGCACTATCTGCTTGCGGAGGGAATGGATATGTTACTAGTGATTTTATTTTCTGAGGACAATTGCTTGTTGGTCTGAAGGGTTTATGCTCAAAGATATCCAAATAGGAATTTTCTTGACAAGCGTCCTTTTGAAAAACTACTTTTCCTATTTCACGGAGCTGATAGTGTATTATATGAAAAACCTATTAGGCAGAAACTTGTCGTTGGAATTAAAGAAAATGAATTTGCCTTAATTGGCTTTTTTATAGAAAATCCAATATATCTACAAGTCATCATAAAGCTACACGCACACTGGTGCGATCACGGCCGCGATCACGATCACGATCAGGGCAGCGATAACATGAGCCATCATTCTAGCACACACCAAACGCGTTCACGTTCACCGCCGTACCTATATGTAGTGCGCCATCTTGTAGGTATACATAGGTACAAATTAAAAATGTGAATTATGTATACCGAAAAAAAACATTCTTAAATATTTACTATTTACCTTATATATATTTAAAATTAAACAATAAAAATGTATACATATGTACAGTACGTCTGTCCGTTCTGTGGCTACGGGGTATCCGTGAGAGGGGAAACGATATTCTCTCGATGTTTCTCGTAAAAAATTAGACGACGCGTCCCATCAATAAAAATTCGACAAATTTGCAAGTAACCAATAACATGAGTGGGCGGAGCGATTTGCGGTGATGTACTCGTCAAGTCGACGTATAAAATATATTGCTGTATATTTAAATGTTTTTTGTCCGCATTCCTTTCATAGACACAGATCCAGTAGACGAACTGTAATATCCAATTCAATTGCAACTCCAATTTTGTCTCAAACTTTTTATTTTTAATTCTATTATTTTTGTAACTTAGATCGGATAAATCATATAGAATTTTGTGTATTTTTACAGCCTTAATTAGCTGCTCTGTTAACTCCATTTCTAAATTTCAACAAGAAATAACACACAAAATAACGGAAAAGTCCTATCAGTTGGGTCGCAATCACGCGATCAAACTCGACAAGTTGAATTTGATTGCCACCGCAGAATAGAACGCCGCCAGGCCGCTTCGTCTCCAAAACTCGATGGCGCCATTGTGAAACGGCTCATATGTATTCAGCTGTGCGCACACTGGCGCGATCACGGCCGCGATCACGATCACGATCAGGGCAGCGATAAAGTGTTTGTACACTTAAATCCCTGATCGTGATCACGATCGCGATCACGATCACGATCAGGGCAGCGATAAAGTGTTTGTACACTTAAATCCCTGATCGTGATCACGATCGCGATCACGATCACGATCAGGGCAGCGATAAAGTGTTTGTACACTTAAATCCCTGATCGTGATCGTGATCGCGGCCGTGATCGCACCAGTGTGCGTACACCTTTCTTCAGCAACTCTTGGCCGCGGCTGCGTGGAGATTGTGATCGCGGCCGTGAGCGCACCAGTGTGCGTACAGCTTAATATAAATCAAAAAGAACTACTTCTTTATTTTTCTTGATAAAATAATAAATACTTACTTAGATTAAACTATTGTAGGTAAATTAAATAAAAGTAAACTATTACAAATTTATATAAGTCCATAATTAATGTTGATTTTGAAAAGGGCTACTAGCTGTCGCTCGAAAATTGCCATGGCGACACTAGCCATGTTGACTGCCATTTTATTGAAAAATCGCTTTTTATTCAAAATCTGAGCCAGATAGGCATAGGAAACCCTAATATAGTTTGATAGAGCATTTAAATATGCTTCGACTTATTTTAAAAAATACGGGGTGTTGCATTTGAAATAAAAAAAGTTTTTGAAAAAATGAACATACAAAATAGACCAGCAATTACCCCTGTATACATTTAAAGAAGCAATAAAAATTTTGACTAAAGCTTATTTCTCTAGCTTCATCATATGCGAAAATATCAACCATATGCGAAAACGTCAAAACTTGACATATGATTACGTCATTCTATTCAGATTGTCATTTTCTATCGAATAAAGCAAAAAAATACCGAGGGTGTCATTTAAAAATCAAAAGTTGTATTCATTTCATTTAAAAATGAAATTTCTACACCCTGTATCTCCGAAACTACGCATTTTAGGACATACATTTATGCAAACATTTTACTTATTTTCTTATATTTCCCGTAACACAGTTTGGACCATCCTGTATACATGGTGTCCCAGAAATAAGTATTTTAATTCCTAGTATAGTTCACCCCAGAAACACGCCTATGGATTTTTTAAAAATAATTTTTGGAATTTTTTTTAGATTTTAGTTAACATAATTTCTTGATAATATGGCAACATAGGTATTAGATTAAATTTACAAGAAAGAAAATTCAGAAAAGATCGAGTGGTTCTGAAAATTTTAGCAAAAAATCATTTTTTTGGAAATTTTCAAAGTAAAATAACTTCGTTATTTTGGACTTATTTGAAAAACGATAAAGAGAAAATATGTTTCTTTTATCGAGATCTACCATCCTTTAAAATGCTTGCACTTATTTCTGGGACACCCTGTATAAATTAATAAAATAAACGATATTAAAATTAATATTTCTATAAATACCTGTCGAAATAAAGTTTTTAACTCGTAGTATAGTTCAACCCCAGAAACACGCCTATGACACGCCAGAAACACGCCTATGGATTTTTTAGTTTTTAGTTAAAAAACATAATTTCTTGATAATATGGCAACATAGGTATTAGATTAAATTTATAAGAAAGAAAATCCAGAAAAGATCCAGTGGTTCTCAAAATTTTAGCAAAAAATCATTTTTTTTGGAAATTTTCAAAGTAAAATAACTTCGTTATTCTGGATTAATTTGAAAAACGATAAATAGAAAATATGTTTTTTATCGAGATCTACCATCGCTTAAAATACTTGCACTTATTTCTGGGACACCCTGTATAAATTAATAAAATAAACGATATTAAAATTAATATTTCTATAAATACCTGTCGAAGTAAAGTTTTGAAAGCCATTACACTTTTAATCAGTTTTATGAGGTCCATAATATCTGTCCAGATCCAGAAAAAGAGAAGGTATCCCGAAGTGTATTTTACGATATTATCCCCAGCTATTCTTTGGCCTCTAAGAAAATTAAAAATAGTTCTTTACAAAGATTTATATTAGTAACAAGTAAATTTCTAAAAAATAATGAGTTAGGTAATTTAGAACTTACAGATCTATGCACTTAGCTATCTTGGAAGTTTCTCCTGGCTGGAAATGGTGATTCTTATGTCCCATTGTTTCTAAAACATTATAATTAAAAATATTGTCATGTATTTATTTTTTATATTATTTATTTATTATATTTCAGTAATTTATTGTGTTTTTATATACTTACATTTCGAAAAATATTAAATATATTTAATAAGTATAATAGTAATATAATGTATAAATAATAAATGATATTAAAATAACCTATAAATGCACGGAGCGTGTAACCAATGCAAACATCAAAAATATCTTCGTTTTTCATATCTCCAAATTCTTCAACCAGAAGTTTGCTGTTTTTGTAAAAAACGGGAGTAAAAGAGTTAAGAGTAATTGGACGGAAATTTTTGGACATTAATTTTCTTTTTGGTTTCCACTGAATCGCTAGAAATGTGAAAATGTAAAATGTGAAATGAGGATTTGAACATTTTATTTTTCTATTTAATAAAAACATAAAAATGACAATTTCAAATATAGGAAAGCTAAAAGTGAGGATTAATATATGACATAGGAAATAAGTATATGAAGAACAGAGAAAGTTATAAGTGGGAGTATTATAAGTGAGATATTCGTCGGCTTAATCGGCAAATATCGTAAGTCCTGAATACAAAATTTTACAGGAGACACTTAAAATTTTGTACAGTTTGCAATTAATAACTTAGTTTTTTTTACTTCATTTATTGAATTTAAAATATTCATATAAGTTATTTTAAAAACAAAAAATTTGAAATTATGCAATCGTGCTGTTTCGTCTTTTTTCAGAAAGTATTGCCATGATTAACTAACCTTCTTGACTGGTTTTCCAATTTTCTATTCCTTTGACGCTTTGTTGTTGATATTTTTACTAGCATGTCGATGTAAATCTTTCTCTGATTCCAGTCTAAAGTATCCCAAAAATAGTTGAAGATATGGTCTCTGTCTTGATCAGTTAATTTAGAACATTGTATTGAAGTATTATTTGTGGAAATCTTGCAATCACATCGTGGACCTAATACTCTTCGTTCTCTTTTAATATTGTAATTGCAGCCGTTGTGGGTTTTATTTTTACCAGTGTATTCTTTACCTTCTTCTCTCATTTTTTTGTTAATATTTTCTCTCCAAATATCCTGTCTACATCGCGTCTTTTTCGCCTCTTTCTTTTATTACTGGAAATGGAACGTTCTTCTTCTGTACTTTCCTCTTCTGTATCGTCTTGTTCTGTCACAGTACTAGTTAGGTTATCATCTTCTTCGGTTGTATCACTATCTTCACTTTCTTGGATCTAGTCAGGATCCTGTTGCCTTGAAACTTGTGTGTTAATCTCGTCAATACCAGAATTATCTTTTCCGAGAATTCCATTTCCTTTGGCAGAATTTGATGTTGTTGGCTCGAGTTCTGCTTCTAGAATATCCTGACATGATTGAGTTCTTACGATATTTTCATTTTCTATGATTTTATCATACACGGTCCCATAGTTATCATTTTGTACTGTTGAAGGGCTAGTAAATATTTCAGGTAAATCGGAAACTTGTTGCATCATCAACATGGTACGAGAAGAAACAGGTGGAATTTTTAGCTTCGGACCCAATATAAACTTGTCCATTATACTAAAAAATATGTAACCACATTTTGAAATAAAAATATTTTAATAAAGTTATCTTACTAATAAGAGTGTTAATTATGACAAGTTGTAAATTTTTGTGGACTGAAGAAAATGTTTGAACTCTGCATAAAAATTTTATTACGAATAGTATAGAGAAAATGTCGTAACTCCACCTTACGTGGTCTTGGAGAAAAAACATGTTTTTTAAATGAGACTCACCCTATATACACTGAAAAATAAAAAATATGGCAAAAATAACTTACCTTACGTAATAATAGACACTTTCTAGACCGAATTCAAAGAGAAAAACACAGATAAAGCTAAAATTGACAAGTATTTTCATGAACGATGCACGTACGCCATTAAACTGACGGACTTACGACAATTTCTTAACACATTTTGCGCAGGGTGGACTTACGTCAAAATTTTGATACAGGTTTCTGCGCACTAAATTTTATCCTGGACATCCGATATTTACTAAATAGGTAGCTATGGTTATAACACAACAGATGGCGCAAAAATGTTATTTTCCAAAAAATATGGACTTACGACATTTTCCGATTAAGCCGACGAATATAACATAGAAAAATAGCCATGAACAAGTAAACGATTCGGTATACGTATTCGTCAAACTAGTCGCCGGACTAAATCGAACATTCCTTTGACGCGATTGACATAAGCATAGCGGATTACCATCAGAGATGGTCAAATACCCTGTATATTGAAATTTGGCTAAATACCCGAGGTTTTGCATCCGGCATACAGTGTGCTACAAATTCGGGGTACAAGCATTGGTATCGCGGAAACCGTAATAGATACGAACATGGTTAAATTGGGGCAAAGTTGCGCCTTGGGAAGTTCGCTAATTTTTAAAGAATTCAGTTTCCAGAGGACAAGGATGTGCCACACTTAAAACAAATTTCAAGTCCGGCTCTTTTTTATTTTTTAACCTTATTATAATAAGCGTAACAATATTGATGGGCACTAATTAACATTGAATAAGAAAAAGAGCCAAATGGAAGATTCAAATAAGTAATATCCAGGTCAGTATTTTAAAGATATTATTTTTACCTTTTTGTATTATGAATTTGAAATCTAAATGTAACGATCTAGTAATAGTAAATATGCTTGATAAAAAATAGTTAAATATGCTTGATTTTATACGAAAACAGCGATTACAGATTAAACAGAGATTATTCAGATTGTACTCGTTGAAATTTAAATGAAAATCATTATTAAAAATTGTAACACTAGTTGGGGAAGAATAATAGCTAATACAACAACTATAATATTACAACAATAATATAACTATATAATACAACAATATTATTACCTTATATCATACAGTCTTTGCTCATATTATCACTGTCTGGATAAAACCTGCTGCACATTTATTTTTGATCTCAAAAAATATGATCATGTTTCAGACAGGTTGAAGAAACTTAAATGGCTGAAGATACAATTTTTGTGTAGATATCAAACAGTTTTGTTAACAAAAAAATATTCTGAGCTCTTCTCCGAAATATATTTACAATGAATTCGTATTGATCGGTACTTGAGGTACCCAAATAAATTAGAGTGTCCACCATGTAAGTCTGCATGGCTCCAACGGTCATTTATCTACAATACGGTAAAGTTTTATAATGCAATAGAGAGCTTAGTAACGTCTATAAGAACCTTTAGACGTGTAATTTAAAAATTCTGTTTGATAGTCTGATTTAATTTGTTGTTTGTCATTGTAGTTATGTTTAGTTTAAAACTATTATGTATGTAATTTAATATAATGTTCTTTACTTTTATTCTTATTTTGATTTCCCACTGTTTCTTAAATTCTTAAATTATTATTGTATATTATTATTATTGATTACTACTGTTTTATATTATTATTAACTGTTAGTAAATAGCATGTTATGTATTTGTTATTATTGTACGTATATCGTTTAATATTTTCGTTTTTTATTATATTTATCTATCTCATTTAATGATATTCTTGTGACAGGTTAAGTAGATTAGCTCCAAGCTAGACTTCGCCTTAAGAAGGAAATTTCGTTTTTTTTGTATGTACTATCATTTCCTTAATAAAGACATTTTATTATTATTATTACTAGTAACTGTATCTCATATGTTTACAAAAGTCTAAGTACAATCTGTGGTGCAATGTTGTAGATTTTTCTTTTTGCATGTTTGTTTTTCAGTGTAGAAATGAAACGGAAAAAACTGACGGTAATATTCTGAGGTTATTCCCAAAACGGGGAGGCCAAAACTTTTCTTTTGGATTAACAATATTTACATTTGCGGTAGCTTCGGGCAGCATTAAGGGTAGTTTCCTGATTTCAAACACTAAAAACAAATCAATATAGAGAACAATTGACCAAAACGTAAGACAAAAAAAATCCACCCGGGCCCCTTGTCACAACTACACCCGGGCCCCTCTGGCCCAGTCCGACCCTGATTACCACTATGCATTTTGTACTCTTAAACTATGCATTTTGTACTCTTTGTTGTAAATGTTGAGATGTATTGATTTCACTTTTACGTTTTTAAGTAATGCCCCCCAAAGGAAAATATCCCTTGGCAACAGGTCCAGGAACCTCGCTGGCCATTATACTGCTCTTCCCGGCTATTGCATCTTTCCGGCTGATTTGACTGTTAATATTATATTTATACTATTTATTTTATATTAGTTTTTATTAATTTACTGTATTTAATTTGCCGTATCTAATATTTTAACCCACGTCATTGTTAAGTTCTAAAGCTCATCAGTATTGTTACTATGAATAGGTTAAATAATTAAAAAAAAACAGAGCCGGACTTAAAATTGCTTAATATATTGTTTAACTGCCCGAAACAATAGAAATATTAAGTGTGGTGCATCGTTGTACTCAGGAAACCGAATTCTTTCAAAACATGAAATAAAAAATTCAGGTCCGTATTTAAAAAAATATAAGTTGACCTATGTATCTCATAAATTATGGTAAATTATAAACTAATTTGAAAAGGTAAACATACTATTAGGTACCCTTGATAAAGTGGCCATGAGAATATTGGATTAGTTTTAGAATTTTCTAAAAAGTAACGACAGGAAAAAATAATAATATTCCAAAAAATATTTTTTTTCAAAAAACAGCATTTTTGAAACTTTTTTGATAGCATATTCGCGAACATCTCAAGGCGCAACTTTGCTCAAATTTAACCATGTTCATATCTATTACGGTTTCCGAGATACCAATGCTCGTACCACAAATTTGTAACACCCTCTATAGCCAAAAGGTAAATAAAGGGTTCATTGAAATTGAGTAAAATATACCCGTTATATACACAAGTATGTTTATTTCATCAATTTAACGTACTATAACAACGTTATCTTACTTATAGTACCCGACAAAGACTGCAAAATTGCCTTAATTAGCCTTAACATAGCCTTAATTCTATCGAATATAGCACAATACAGACTGGTATAGGTTGTGAACTGTGGGAGAATAATCGAATTTTACTTGACAAGGGGGTTCCCTGAAGAAATATTCTCTCAGTAAGTTACTTTCTGGGCATTCTGGATTCATCCACTCCTGGATATAGGTCTCTCCTATCCTTTTCCACGTCTCCATGTTTTGTACGGTATTTATCCACCGTTTACTGCCACTTCCCTAATGTTGTCCACCCAACGTTTCTGTGGCAACGTCCCACACTTCTTTTAGTTTGTCTAGGCCTCCACATTGTTATTCTATGCGTCCATGTGTCTTTATCCAATCTAGCAACATGGCCAGCCCATTGCCATTTCATTTTAGCCACTTCCTGAATTATATCGGTAACTCTTGTTTGCCTCCTGATGTTTTTATTACGAATTTTGTATCAGCATACATCGTTCCATACCTCTTTGAGTTGTTATTTAAGAGTTTAATTGCAAATGATCTTGTTAGACTGGTCGTTTCCAGTCCGTCTGTTTGCACAGGCAAAATTGTTTAGGTGTTATGTACTTTTCGCTTCAGATTGATAGGGATAGTCCTATCTTTGCAGGTGATAGATGTAATTCATTTAACATTTCATCTAGTTCTGTGATGTTGTTACCTATTAGAACTATATCATCTGCAAATCTGAGGTGGTTTTGTTTGATACCATCTACGCTAATGCCCTTGGTGTCCCATTCCAGCTTTTTGAATTCCTCTTCTAGTGCTAGAGTAAACAGTTTAGGTGACATGGTGTCTTCCTGTTTCACACCTCTCTCCAATACTATTCTGTTGGTCGTAGTTGTTTCATCTAATCTAATATGCATTGTTGCTTCCTGGTAAATATTTTCAGTGATTATATATCTTGAGTCTATTCTTGAATTTTGTAGAGCTGCTAATATTGACCATATTTCAACGGCGTCGAAAGTATTTTGAAAGTTAACGAATGCTAAATGTATAGGCACATAGTACTCTGTACATTTTCCTATAAGGGTACGGACTGTATAGAGATGATCTATCGTGTTATATCTCTTTCTAAATCCTGCTTGTTCGACGGGTTGGTAAAAATCCAATTTTGAAGTTAAACGATTAGTTATAACATTTGTAAATAGTTTATATAAAAGTGATAGAAGGGATATAGGTTTATAATTTTCGATGTTTGTTTTTTATTGCGACGATGTTACCTTTTTTGAAGAGAAGTATTACCTCAGAATTACACCATTTAGTTGGAATTTTACCGGCATGTAAGCATTTATTCAGCAGTACACTTGTTGCTTCTCGTACAGTCTCTCCTCCCAGCTTTAACATTTCTGTACTGACTTGGTCTTCTCCTGGACATCTGTTGTTCGTCATCTGCTTCACTGTTGTGGTTATTTCGTCCTGTGTAATTTCTGGAATTTCATGATGATTGTTTTTTCTATTTGATTTTGGGATCTGGATGAATATAGACTAGTGTAGAAATCGTCAATGAATTAATGATATCATTTTTGTTTTGGATTATAATACTGTTTCTGTCGCGTATTTTTGTTATTTTAGTTCTTCCATTAGAAAGTTTCCTTTTCAATATTTTCATTTTACAATTATCATTTATAGTATCTTCTGTGAGTTTTGTGTTGTAGTTTCTTTTGTCTCTCCTGATTTCTTTTTTAACCATTTTGTTTAGTTCCTTATAATATTCGGTTGTTTTGTCGGTTATGTTTCGCCTCTTTTCTAATAGCTCTACTGTATTATGATTCAGCTTTGAGTCTTTTTTTAATTCCTTTTTCTTGAACAGATTTTTACTGTTGAAGTTCTTAAAACGTCTATAATTTTGTCTGTGATTTCATCGATTTCCAGATGTTCAGAATTTATTTTAGTTATTCTCTGATGTAAATCGTTTTGATATTCTGCCTCCTTTAATTCGAGAACGTCTCCGGTAGGGTATAGTTATTTCTAGAGTTTTTTCCTTTCACTAGCAATGTTGATTATGATCTTTGCTTTCACTAGCCTATGATCGCTTCCTGTACTGCATCTGTTCAGAACCGATACATATTTGCATATTGATTTGTTGTTTGATAAGATAAAGTTGATTTCATTTTTGTATTGATTGTTTGGGCTGCGCCATGTCCATTTGCGTTGTAATACAATATACAATATTCTTTTTAGATCATCGATATTTTCCACGTAAGTCTCAGAGATGGCGCGCTCAAACAATGTCGCCAACCAGCAATACACGTGCGGTTATTCACTTCTCCGACAGATGTCGCCACACGCACGTTGACATTGCCTCCTTCAAATTTGATCGTCCCGATCAAAGTTTCCTGGCTGATATCTCTTTAATCGATCCAGATGAACTACATTCATCTTACTTCTAGGGCTGCGTTGGATCCGGTACACAACATCAATTTATCCTCTTGATGATTGTA